AAATATATTAATTATAAGCTACTTTTATAATCCAAAATTACTAGAATTTAATTTATAGTCATAAATGTTGAATTTTTTATCTTAAAGATTTCATATAGACCTATTTAAAAGACTTTTTCCTTAAAATTTAATATATTTTTCGCAATAATTTAATATAAATTTTAAAGTCAAATTGTCATTCAAATAATCTTAATTTCTCTTACCTGAAATCTATAGATTTAACCCCCCAAAAATATATTTTAAACACGTGAAAAAGTAATCAAACCAACCCATCAAGATTCTTCTTTTTTTTTGTCTATTAAATTCTTTTAAGATCTCGTAAAAGTTGGAAAGACATTAAAATGATTCAAATAATTGTTTTCTCGCAAGATAAATGGATTTATGTTAAGTAGTAGCCAATTATTTTCGAACATTTGCATCGTTAAGTGAATCGAGTAACTCGAATCTACATACTAAAAGACAATCTGGACAATAATTAAGTTAAATTAATTATGGAATAGGATTGGTTTTCATAAATATCTTATACTTTTCTACTAGCATTAATTAAAATTGACGTTAAAAAAATGGAGAAGAGTTGTGGGTGATGCTTTAGGGATAAATCCCTATTTTTTCAAATCCTTACTACCTAACTAGATTCGTAAACTTGTTAAGTGTTTAAATAAATAAATTTAGGTAGTTTTACTCACCATATTGCAACAGATTTCTTCTCCTTTGAGGATAGGGAATTTATTGAATGATCCTTCATTCTGTTAAAGTACTCATTCGTTGTGGTAATATTGACCTAACATCCCAACTTCGGATCGTCTTACCCTTAATGACGTCACTGGCATCACTCCTCTTCATCTTTCTCCTTCTCTACTTTTTTTTTATTTAATTTTATTATTATTATTTTTTAAATAATAAATTTACATTAATGTTTTTGATCACCCCCCGTGATATTTAACCCCGTAATTTATTTATTGTTGGTCAAAAGTCGAGTTTAATGAAGGTGAATGCGCGTCTAGGGGCACTAATAACGTATTCTCTACTCTTGATTGGGATTGATGGCCCCTGTTCGATCGTAAAGATTGTTTTGTACCTATAAAGTATTAAAAATTTAATACCTGTCTGAATAAACATTAAAATAAAAATCTTTAAAATAGCTTTGGATGCCTTAGATAAGATTATATCTTCTAATGGGGTTCGTATCTTAACTCAAATACTTAATTGATAAAATGTCGCGAGATTTTTGTTTAGAATTAAATTATTTTCTTTGTTTAAATTTTATTTAATACTAAATCAGTCGAGCCGACGGTTTACTTAGAATTAATTATATATTTATTTTTATTCAATAGTTTTTGTATTTTTTTATAACAGTCAATTCTAACTGGTCTCTCTCTATGTATATTAAATTTTTCTGATAAATAAATAAAAGTGTGAATAAAAAGCAATATATAATTCAATTTTTAGAGCTAAAATTAATGATATTTTTTAATATTTATACATTTTTAAGAGCGAACATTGTCATGAAAATCTGATTTAAATACAGCTAAAACTATTATTATTATTATTATTATATTTTATTCGTCTTTAAAATTAAACTATAATAAATTTTTTTAAAAGAGAAACTTTAAAAATTAGAGATTTTAAGCACGTTTTCGGCTTCGTAATTTGTTTTTTCCTCTCTTAAAATTGCATTTTTTCTAAGCTTTAACCTCTGGAAAAAATTCAATATCAGAGACAATTTTCAAAGTTTATGTATGCAATATACACATATATATATGTATATATACATATATATATATTTTTCAGATGAATTTTTCTCAACGCTTTATTGATTCATTTAATAACAGTTCACATAAATATAGAATATGGTTCAATCAATATTACTTTATCACGAACAGAGCGAAACGAAGGTCGAACCGAATGTTAGTGCAACAAGTGAGTTAATGCAGCGAAACAAATGATCAAGAAAGCATTTTTACCTATTTACAGCGATAAAGAATAAAAAATATTTACCACCCCCTTCCAATTTCTTATTTTTAAAATCCATTTTTTTAAAAATATCTTATATATATATATTTATTTTTTTAAAGACATCTAGATGATAAATAACTTTATTTCAAATGGCAGTAGATGTAGACATAGAAGGAGGAGATGTTAAACCACATCAAGGATCTTTCAAGTTGTCAAAATATAAGGGTCGAATCTTCATTTCTGCGTATCTTAGAGAGTAATCTCCTCTCCAACGTTCCCATATAATGCCTTGAAAGTAGCCATTATCCGTAGGATCGCTGTGATAAGGTCCGTTGAGATTGGCTTCGAAGCACCTAAGAAGAAAATAAATAAATAATTTTAAACACTTAATCATCTGTCGAGGACGAGATAAGCATCCCTTCAGCTAATTAATTGCACGTCTAATTTAATTTTTAAAAATTGCATGTTTTTTTTATAGTTAAGATAATTATATCTACCAAACCTGATTATAAGAAAAATGATACAGGAGGATGAGAGGTTGTTACAGTATCTTTATACAATTATAGTTGTATAAAGATGGGCATTAAGGCTAATTCTATATACTTAGCGATAAAGATTGATAGTTTAAAGACATGTAAGGGAGATATTGGCTCTGTAAAACAGACAAACTAATGGAAAATCTGACGATGAATCAGCTACTAGTGCACTCCTACAAGTTAGATTATTTTCTTGTCACTGCATATTATACCTAACGATCAAATTAGATAATTTCTACTGATTTCCTACTAATTATGCTATTCTGTATTATTAAAACTGATATAAGAAGAGATATCTATTCACTCTCGAGTAACAAGATTCTCTACTCAGACCTTATCGTAGGGGCTATCAAGATTCGAGTTTTCTCTCATTTAAGGAGCTTCAAAAACTAATACTTTTTAGGTCCCGTAATCATCCTCAAATTATTATTCAATTAAATTTCTTGTGTATTAAGAAAAAAATCTTTGTTTATTATCAGATTTTATTCATTAATAAGATGAGGCCTCAAAAAGTTAAGTCACTCGGACCTTCTCTACCTTACTTATGTCAATTTTAAGTGCCGATACAAAGTATTTCTAAATATAATTAATATTCTTTTACTTAAAGATGATTAAAGTGTCAAGCATCTTCTCCCATTGCTCACTAGACTCTTCTCTTCTCGGAAAACAATTGATAATTTATATTTATTTATGCTTGGAACTTACTTGTAATACCACCAGCCTCCTTTAAAAGTAGTCGCACAATTGCAACAGGATGCAACTTCGTCATTGTCTCTATCGATTGTCGAGAACATTTTACCATCGTGCACACTTAGAGAATCTGTAGCATTTCCTGAATATTCCCCCACATTTAATCTGTATTGATCGCTCTCTTCTCCGACATAAAATCTGCAAAAGACGTTTATATAAATAACGATTGATTAAGTATTGATAAAAGAACACTCGAACTAATTACCTAGAATATTCAGCAAAAGCTCTATGACCGTCGAAGTCTTCTAATTCGATCCTTAATTTGACGCTATCCTGCGAAGTCAGCTGTGAAATTTTTTCGTTGCCCAACCAGAACTCGCGTAACAAGTCACCGAAACCCAATTTATAAGCTTCCCAACCTTGAGTAAAATTCTCTCGCGGTTCGCCATAATCTCCTCTTCTTTGTATGACCTAGATTATTAAGAAATTTTAGTTTAGGAGTGAATTTTACATGGCTCGAATGGCGTATAGGACTACTTACGGTCCAACCTCCTCCATCGGTTCTGAAATCGCAATAGACATTGAACTGTTCCGTTGTACCTTTAGGTAGAATGGTGTAGACGTCATTAACTATGTTCCCTCTCACTTGCAGATCTGCACAGCTTCTAGCTTGATCGCTAGGTGTTTGCGCTTCTTCAGTAGGTTGGACAATTGGAGGAATAAGACTGTGACGAAGGCGTTCAACTTCGACCAAAATTTTGCTGCAAATGTTTTGCACGCTCATTTGTCGTGATTCGATATAACCTAATCGAAGATTCGTATCTTTAGTCGTCTCCTGAAGAGCCTTATATTGAGCGATACATACTTCAGAATGCTTTTCTTTAGTCAGTAAGTCGGTAATCTTGGAAAATGTGTTGTTACACCACTTTGACGAGCCAGAATCTATGGTATGCTTAAGCTGATCCATCTTCTCGTTCAATTTACTTACAGGATCCGTTAATTTTCTCCACAGCTTCCTGAATATACGCCCGGGACTGTTAACGTCTCTGACTGTGTCATCGCTCCTCAGCGCTATGCTAGGCCCTCTTCCAAAATCTGGACAGAGTGGATTAGAAGTGACTTCGGTATCGTTCGGCACGTCGTCCTGCTTGATGTGCTTTCTGATATCGACCAATAATCGACCTAAAGTATCTAACTTGTGCAAGATATCCGTCTGAGCCGCTTCGAATTGAGGCTGCCATTGATTTTCCAAGACTTTGATCATAGATCGATCGATCTCTGATATACTACACGCCGTGATCGGTGCCTTTTGCGCTTCTAATGTTTTTTTAATAGCTTCCTTCAACGACAATCCCAAAGGAGCGTGATGGCATTCTAAACAATCGCCTAGGTTCTTCGCCGCCACTTCTAAAGACGCCATTTTGTTTCCAAGATAAGTAACGTAATCATGAGATTCGGCTAAAGATGGAAAGTTCATGCTCCTTCTTACCATGTGCTCCACTTCCTGCTGTAAAGCACCAAATTTCCGATCTAAAGCACCGAATAACTGGAAGAGGGATTGAATGTTCTCGTCAATTTTTTCTAACTTCGACGAATCACCTTTCGACTTCGAACTCCCGCTACTGCTCTGTTTTCGTAATATTTCGCTAACATCTTTAGAAATTCTTTGAATTGCTTCGTTTTTCGATATTACCAACTGTTGAATATCTTCTAATATCGTGCTTTTCTTACTCAAATCATCCACTTTATCCGATATAGTATCGAGTTTGGCTTCGACATCTTTAACTTTTTTCGCCAAATTCGTTAGATACAACGTGTTAAACTGTTCCAATTTCCCTGGAAATTATCAATTAGAATAGATAAATAGAAGTATAAAACAAAAAAAAAAACAAGAAACTTTTTAAACACTGTCGCCATATTGCGTTTCGTTACTCACCTTCGATATCGGCCATCATTTCCTTAATAGTAACCAATTCGGCTCTCATACCAAGATTTAACTGGCCATAAACTAAGTTTAGATAACAAAGAAAGCCAACAGAGAGAAAAACTTTTATAGAAGCCGAAGTATTAGCCATTTTGTATTTACATAGAATGATTAGAAAGGTGAAGCCAGCTGTGTTTACATCCATCTGTTTTAAAATCATAAACATTGATAAGACTTGACAAAACTTGAACTTCGATAGAGCTAGCATTAACACTCATATTATCGATATACCCATACATATTTATAGGCGTAATTCCAGTTAAATTATATTGATTTTCTTTTTAAAAAATTAAGTTCACTAACTTTATATTATAAACAGAAGTTCTAGCATTATTCAGAAGAAATCAATGTTTAAAAATCTTAATTTTAATTTCCTTTTATCCAGAAAATTGTATTAAATAATCAATAAAGGAGAGGAAAATAATTTAAAATTCAGTTTATAAATTCTTTTAAAACATATTTTTTTTCTCTCTCTTTTATTCGCTTGTAACAAACATTATTGAATCATTATAATATCAATGGTTCATTAAAAATTCCATTAATTTTTTATAAGCATTGTAACCTAGATATTTTCAAAGAATATCTTCGGTTTCATTTGCAATGTTTTAACATAGCCTGGAGTATATTTTACTCATTAACTTTCTTTTCGATAGCTTAATCTCTTGTTCAGGTAAAAAAAAAGTTAAGAAAAAAAATCAAACTTTAAAATTAGCTCGAGGTCGTTAGAAATAATGTTAGGAAGACATTTTTATCTATAAGATGAAGCTATTAAAGTTGATTAAAACGTTAACAGATACCTAAAAGAAAAATTAATAAATTCTCATTTATATATTTGTTTAAAAGTTCTATAATCCAAGTACGAATTAAAAATGTATGGGCGAGAAAAAAAATTAATAAAATAAATATTTGCTAAAAAATTTACCATAGAAACGCTCAACGGGGCAGATTTTCCATAGCGTTATTTCTTTATCGTCCCATTTTATCCAGCATCCCATGTTCAACTGTAAATTCCCGATCTGTTTTTCCTTATGATGATGCTATGCACTTTGACAGAATATCTCTTCACCTTCAACGCATTTCCATCCTTTCTTAAATCAAATTGTTTTGCTATGCTCGTTCCCTAGGCCTGTCGTACTAACGCCCAGGTCTGCTTCTGGGTGGAGCTAGTTCCGTTTCTGTGTGTCACACACACACTCACACACACACATACACACATACAAACACACATTCAAAAAGCCTTGTAATCTGTCCTGAAATTAATCTCCTAAATCCACTATATTAAAAAAGTGCATGTGACAAAAATCAGCAAGAAAACAGACAATTTCTTTAAAAATATTAAAATTTTATATCTTTGCATATCGATTTTAGCCATTTAAGGGCGTAAGAATTAATAATTTTTTACAGAAATCACCCTCTCATCTCATCAATTATCAATCAAATACCTTTCCATCATACCATGGAATAAATGACAATTTTAAAGAGTGATTGATAAAAAAAAAAAGCTTTTAAAATTTTTTTTAAAATATTTATAAAACTTTCCAAATTATAATAATAAATTACAATATTCTAGTTTTAAAATGAATTAATTTTTAAACAGTTTTGAATTATTTATATATTTATTTCCTTAATGACTCCTTATGTTCGGCTTCCCTTTCTAACTTTCCATGCCTTGCAGAGAAACAAACTTCCTCTCTGCTTGTCAAAAATTTTAAATAATATTTCTCTAGTTTATATTTTGCGCTTAGAGAAATACGTGATTGATATATTTAGTGTATATCATTACTATGATGAGTAATTTACGTGACATTCAATGACCCTATTTTATATATATATATATATATATTTTTTTTTTTTATTAATGCAGGAAGAGAATTGATTGATGTGTTAAATATAACAATTCATCCATTTAATTTATTTTCTAATATATTTTTTTTTTATATTGGAAAAAGAAAAAATCTTGTATAAATTATCTAAAAATAACAACACCATTATCTTTAATTAATAATCTTTATAATTTACTACATAATTTTATTTTTTATACCCTTACAAGTCACATAATCACATACATTGATGAAGGAAAGGACAAGCTAATAACTTAATGGATAATTAAATTTATGCATTTTATCTGCTTTAAAATCAAGATTAACTAAAAATTTAATTAAATTATACATATATAAAAATTATTATTTTATTTCCTTTATCTCTATTAATCATAAAAAATTTTAATTAATTATTATAATATTGACAATACAATAATAATAATAATGATCAGAGATTATATAAATTGATGAATATTCTTAAGAATTATATTAATATTTAATTAGTTTATAAAGCATTAATTTTTAACTTCATAATCAAATTAATGAATGCAGTTAAACAAGCATTTAATTAAATATTTAAATATTTTGTCATAAAGATGACTTCTCATAAATATATTATTACAAAATGTTTATTTTAATCTTATTTATTTAGGTAAATGAAACTATAAATAATTTTTTTTCCTACAAACTTTATAAAATAAATTAAGAAAAATATTATTATTTTTTTCTATTAATTAATATATATTATGAATTATTTTCTTCATTATTCTGTATGAAATTCTATTTTAATGTCTTAAATTTGGTCCTTTTTATTTTAATTATTTTTCTGAAAATTGATCATAAAATTCACTTAATTAATTGTAATTATTCACTAAATTAAAATTAAAATTTTCTAAAATTTAATGATAAATTGTAAGGAAAATTCAAGTGAAAAGGAAATAAATTTTTAATTTAATTTTATTAATTAATTTAGAATTATAATTTAAATTTATTTATTTAACTGTAACTGTAAATATACTACTATAATATTTATAAAATAGAATGAGAAAAGATTGTTTTATAATTAATATGTATACATTTTAATATCTTAAATTTAATGAACTTTTTCTCAATTATTTTTGTTGATAAATTGTTAAGTAAAATTTAGGAATTTATTACTAAATTATAGGAAAAAAATGGAGATAAAATTGAATTTTAGACTTGAAATTTTTATTATTTTATATTATTTGTTGTCTTATACATTACTATTTGATTAAAATTCTATTTTATTTTAAGATAAAAATGAATAAAATGTAATAAAATTTGTAATTATATT